ATTTACTTAGATGTACTTCATCCGCGGATAACTTTTGTCGGATCATACTCAATTTAAAAATACGCACACAGTGTATTGCCGTTTTTTTTTGTGGGCTCATAAGCGTAGATCCATGAACCGTCACCTATCACGATGTCGAGACGTATTTTGAACCAGCCCGGCTGTAATTTAATTAATGGACACCAGCCATTTTTAATACCACAACATATCTTCCTGGCCCCTAAATGCTCACATGAAATGCTGTGTATGCCGCCTGTGCTACTATCTCACGATATCCGTCTATGTAGTTCCAGTGCGACCTCCACGAAATTATTGGTTTCCACCTCACAGCGAACAATGAGGTGGAATAAAAACTTTAACTTTGTCTTAAGCTACCTTGATTTTGTGAGGCTACAAGAATACATATACTCCTCTAGCAAATTTGAACAGCTGCATAATGGAAATGCAACGAGCATATACATATGTATTTGAAAGTAAAATGTAGAGAGAGAAAGGACACGTGCGCTATTCCGAAATGTGGCAAAGAGGTGATGCAAAATTTCTTTTTATTGGGTTATTGAACACTTAAGTGGCTTTTAAAGGTTTAAAGCGCAGGTAACCAACCAAGCAGCCATCCAAGCGATAAACCTTCACGCCAAATGAGGCGTTAAAGACCACATTGCCATAACTGTACTCGTATAACTGTGTGCATGAGTGAATGAATGATTGAATATGCGACTGCTGCAGTGATGCTAATGTTGAGTATGCGGCTGAGTACTCGAGTGCCCGAGTGAGTGCCTGTCGAAGTGCGCTTAAAGGTGACAATAGGGCAAGCGTTTGCACCGAAGTGGAAAGTGACTGAAATACGAAAGGTTTGGAAACAAAAAGATAACCACGTACCAAGCGCGGTGAACAAGCTGAGAATATGCAAAAATAATAATAATGCAATAAGTAGACAATGACACATCGTACACTACAACACGTTCTGCTAATAAAAAATGCAAATTATTGCGGATGAAATTCCCTAGCACCTACGCGAATTAAACATAGTCGTGTGGGAATGATTACTGAAGGGCTGCCGGTCTGGTTGATAACTTGGGTGCACCCCTAACGAGACTAGACGGCATTGAATGCTTTAATGCAAATTAAGTTAATTATTTTTGTAAAAATTAAATATGTTGTGATGCCTGTTAAGACTTGTATTTAATTGCAATTTTATTTATTTTTATTGATTTTGCTTATCTTCATTTATTTGCAGTCCATAATATCGCCGGATCCCACCCCTTATGTGACCAAAGCGCGCGTCACGCGGCCCACACCGCCGCCACCGTCCTACAATCCAATGCAATTTGTACAGATCAAACCATGCAATCTTTACCAGACCGCACAGGAACAGCTAAAGAAGGCTGAGGAAGTGAAAAAGATCAAGGAGATCAAAAAAGAGGAGCCCGAGGATTGGCAGAATGTAAGTAGATCATTTAAGATTTGCATTAAAATTTATAAATAATCTAAGTAAATGAAGGAGTAAAAGTTATAAGACATAAATAGAAAATAGGTAATCGCAGAATTATTCCAAGATATAAAGAGATCTTTCGATTCAGTTGTTATGTTTTCAAAAAGTTTTTTCCTTTCTTTTTTTTTTTTGTTTGGCGCCCAAGCAACTTGGCCGTTTTCTCAACTTGATTTTTCATGCGGTATTCGCCTTAATCAACGTTTCATCGGATGTCGCCGTGATCCTTGCTTTTGCGCTATATACCAGCACAAGTATGATGGGTAACTTGAGGTCTGATTATGGCAACTTAACCTAACTTATGGGCTGTCACTTAAAAATTCTCTTAAATGGATGTTGCTTATATTTGCACAGGCGAAACTTAAAGTAACTTATTCCTTTATAGTACTTCGAGAATCCCTTCCTTGCCCATCGTTGCATTAGCATCGTCAAGTACGAGTTTAATATATTCAACAGAGCGAACGACAGCACCCGAATTTTCGCTTCTTACACAGAAGCTGTAGTAGACATCCGCAAGACCTGACGTGCTACTTACCTTGTCCCGGCATGGCGGGATGGCAGGTCTTTGAGTTTCCAAGCTCAGCAACAAGTTGGTCAGAAGCACCTTCCCTAATAAATACCCGGGCATTCCAGGTGCTTACCTTTAAATCATAGTCCCTTAAACATTTTCCGGGGTCGTCAATGAAAGAAACGTTCTCATCCGAGACTTTATTTTCATTGGAAGTAGGTTTTACATGGAAGATGACACTACCTGTGCATAACCATATCTTCGGTACATTTCTAAAGTTTACCCTCACTTGCAACCGCACCTCGTTGTGGACAGATACTGCCGTCTTCAATGCGAGATCAATTGTTTAAGCCAGTGTATATACATATTTACAAATGTTTTCATCATCAAATCATTTAAGTTGGATTCCTCCTGATAGCCATGGAAAGGAAACACAATGATTGAAAAGCAAACAGAGTTCCTGGGAGTCCAAAATAAAGGGAAAACAAGTTTGCGTTAACAAAAAATAAAAAAATTAACTTTAAATCATATCCTCAAACCTGGCATGTTTAAAAACTTTGCCAAACATTTGTTGATACTGAGAGGGGATTTCCATTTCTTAACAACTTTTCAGAAGCCAAGTTCAGAAACTCAATTCCTTCTGCCAACTCCAACTTCTGCCCTAATGTTATTAAGAGATATGTAAAAATTTTTCTCATTTTAAATTTTTTTACTGCACTTATTCATGTTAAATTATATAATATTCGAACCCGTTGAAATCACTCAAAAAACAAGGCTGAAATATTTCTGGCGTATTTTTCACTAAAAAACAAAAGCCATCAAATGAATGCTTAAATAAGGAAATGACTTTGCGGCAACCAACTAATTTTGAATGCTCACGAATTACGATGTTTACGATCGAAATAATTTGGGGTGTGTATAATTTAAAATTTGCCAACGAATAATCCGTTCGTTGGACGCTTCGAAATGTTTGTTGAAATGTATTGAAGTTGTGCAATTACGCGGAGCTATGCGCTATTTCTTCAAACTATTTTTTTTTTTTTTTTGTTTTAAGATAGTAAGACAATGTCAGATTAACAACGTAAATAAATAAAAATTGAAAGGCAGCCGACGGACGCAACACAAACAAATACCTGTATAGAAATCATAAAAGCGAGTCGTGACAAATTTTCGAAAATAGCAGACAAATACGCACAAAAATGGCGATAAAAGGCGACAATTTGTATCTATCTATGTTTTTTACTTCTTGTTCATTAATTTGTCACATTTAACATTGGACTGGTATAAAATACTACGAATGCATACAGACGTTTAGTGCCATTTGTGCAACTGAGTTATCGCCGTGGAAATTTGGTCAACTCACTCGTCGAGCAACAATTATTCAATACTGGCGCTTACGCCTGCGCTAAATGCTATGAATTGTAGTTGTGTATACAGAGTACATAAATAGTTTTGTAGCAGCATGAAAAATTCCGCTCAGGTATCAAAAAAAAAAGCTCGTCCAATGTAATTACTTGGTTACTTTGTAGCTCTGCTAAAAATAATCGGACTTGCACTTACCCACTAGTGCGCTGCCTTATTTATGTACGTATGTATTTGTGTTCCAGTTTACTGCCAAAATTTTTTTTTATGTATGGGGCGTGATCGACATACTGCCACAAACATTTGCATTCAAATATGGACATAGCTGCTTAGTTGCAAACAGTTTTTTTTTTTTGACATTTTTCTAAAATTTACTCAGCACACTCGTATTTTCGGTGATTGCGTAAGTTTTTCTTAACGATTATTCGTGGCAGACATGATGACTGCAAATTTTACCAAAATACAATGCAATTACAAATTAACATTAGTACACGTACATACGTACTATTTGTATGCAGGGATCAACAAATTTAGTATACCTACTCATATTCGGCTCATGAATTGCCGTTTTTGTTTTTGTAGCGCAATCATTTTGTACTATTGTCTGCAGTTGACACCTCAAAAGGTTATTTAATCTAGTTTTTACATTTTTTTGTGTTATTCATTTGTAATATGTATGTGCATATATCGAAACGTACATGTTTGTAACAGTCCAACTTGCGCAAGCCAACTGTTTGAAACTGTAACGTTAAATGTAAGTAGTTTACACTTACAGTGATGTTAATCAGCAGCACCAGCAGTAATGATCCGCTCATTTTACGTACATATGTATGTATGTATGTGCAGTAATTCACGTAATCATCATTATTAGTCAAGCATACTATCATTTGCCGCTGTCTGCATTTAATGCTATTTTAATGCTCCATTTATTTCCCATTCCGTACAGAAACCGTGTTCGACTTACGACTTCATAACTAATGGAATTTTCACCGTTTATTTGGGAGGTCTTGCTCAATTTACAAAGGTTCATAAAAGATCACGGAAACCCAAATTGAAGAGGGAAGGATACAAATTTTTGTTAGTCAAAATTTAAAATGTGTCTTACAACACGTCATTTCTAGAGAGTCCTGGTTAAATTGTGCATAGCTTGACAAGTGGTGTCTGAGGAGACAGTAAGGCTTCTCTTGGCTCTTTTTATGACCTTAAGTCACCCGTGTTTTGATAATGTTTATCCGCAGATACTAAAGCACCGGTAAGACAAACTCCTTAGGGCTATTATAAGTATCTTTTTAGATGTTGATAGGGTTGACCGGTTTGAAAAGTCAAATTTGTTTTAGTTATACACAAGCTAAATGAAATGTCGCAATATTAGTGTCAAACGAAAGAGTTGCCACCAATTTGTTTGAAGGTCATCAGATCTGCACCGAATTTCAAATGAGAAGTCAATTGAAAGAACTGGGTTTCAACATACATGTGCCAAAAGGTTTAGTTTTTGTTTTTTTAAGCTAGAACCTTTCCAGCGGTACAGAGTGATTTGAAATTTGACGAAATGAAAACCGACACCATGCAAATCTTCTCATCACTCAGAAATCGGTTGGATGTATCATTAGGAATATTTTTTGAGGCTTTTGAATAAGGCTTTACCTGTTTAAAATGTTAAATTCAATTTTGGCGTTTTAACGCCATGCGGGTTCACTAGTACTCATTAATTTTCCTAACTAGATGATAAATAATTGGATCTAGCGAGTTATCCGTCTCGCTTATCTGCATTTGTGAGCTGTGTCTAGCCATCATGGCCGGCAATCCACCAATCGCCCTGACGAATAGAGACCTGCGCCGACTACGTTTTCAATCTTTAAGCCATCATTGCAAATGGTAACACAGTCCTTTGCCGCCCTAGTTTAAAATCGTATAAAAATCCTGAAACAAAACCCCCGCAGTACCGTAATGTGTTCTGTGCTGGCATCTGAGCCCAACTTGAGATCCCGTTATGTCATTAATTAACATTAGTTGCTTTTTAAATCAAAATGATGGAGCGGATAGTGTTGGCTTACCTTTTGTGTAAACTGCGCCTCCCCAAGCTTTCGTGCTGCTGCATTAATAAGAAGTGTAAGCCAAATTTACATATGTAGATGTTTCCCGCTCTTATCTCTTCGTGCCTCTTTTCTTTAAATTTTCATCTCATTAGTGTTTTATTCTTAACGGCCCGACCCGATTGCTTTCCCTTCACTAAATACACTTGACCCATTTACTTACTTAAAAGTTTGTTTTTTTCTTGCCTTAATGAACCAATACTCGAGGTGCAACGAACGTAATGAAATTGTATGTAATTGAATATTTAACATTTTAATGAAAACAAACGTAAAGTCATCTTCTATTGGACACAATTTTCGTTTGTTATCTCTTTAATATTTTAGTTTTTGCCCTTTTTTCTTGAACTCTTTTTTCTTGCCACTTTTCTGCTTGTAATCACACGATTTGCTGCTACTGTTTCGGTAGTAAAAAAAAACATAAATATGTATGTAGTACTCGTACATGTGTATGAGAACGCAGTTATGCGTGTGAAAATCAATTGATACGCGCCCAACATTGTTTGTTCGATTGGACTATTGGGCCATTCATTGACTGCTTTTGTTTTTGGCATGCTGACTCGGCTAACTTGGCTTACTCAACAAATTTAGACCTAGTAAAAGTGTAGGCATATATGCATGTACATATGTATGTATATTTATGTGCTTACATATTTACATACATACATACATACATATGTGTGTGACTTGACTGACTTGAGTAAATTATTTAATTTAGCCAGCTGGTGGGAAAGGAAGTCGTTATCGGCTAAGAAACCAAGTGCTTATTTGCTTAAATCAGCGTTTATTTGCCATTGCATAAGTTAACTGCACTGTTTTGTTTGTTGTAATACTTAAATACTTTTTATTGCGTTGACTTTATTGTTTTACAGTATTTAGTTTTTGTATGTTGTATGTATCGCATACACTTTTTTTTTTGCCTATTTGCCAACGTACCAACGTACTCGCGTTGTTACATGTTTTTTTAGAGAAAGTTCGGAAATTTATATGCAATTTGTTTTAAGTTCGCATTCATGTGAGGTAGGCAGAAAAATAGATTGACTACAATTTAACAAAAAGCGCAATAAAACCCCTCGTTCGAATGTTTGTTTGGCCACATACATATGTACCTACATACATACATACCTATGCACAGGATATATACTTAGTTGTCAATGAGTTAAAAAACAAAAAGAAAAAACGTCAAGTCGGGGCTTATACAACTTCTTCCTACGTACATACATACATGTAAATATGTATTTATGTATATTCAGAAATTCTTCGGTTGGATTCTAGCCAAATAATAAGAACTATGATTGCCAGTTACTGTCGAAATTCGACCGTTTTTCTAGTTTTTTTAAGACCCGTGGGGGGGGTTTTCTAACTTAAAACGTCGTTTAACTTATAGGGTACAAAATTACATTACCAGAAAATCTCCTGCTTTGGAACGAAAATGTGACAAAAATTTTTTTAATGATTCGAAGATTTTTGGAGGACTTGACCCAAAACATTCCAGTTTATCGATGACATGTCGATAACTCAATGAATTTTAAAAACACTTAAATCCGACAACTCAACAAAATTCGATAACTCGACTAATTTCTATAATTTTCGATCAATTTCGAGAACTGTGCGTTTAGAGGCCTCGATAAACTTCGATAGCTCAAAAATGTACATATATATCTCGATATAAATCGATAACACGTTAAACTTTGGACACCTACATATGTATCTATATATATAAATTTCGATAACTTGGCTAGTTTTGATAGTTTCACATATTTTGAAAGCCTTCGGCAGATTTTGGTAACTCGTAACATTCTGGTAACACGAAAAAATTCTGTAAGCTGTAAAAGGTAAGATCGTAAAAACATAAATAACTCGATAAACTTATATAACCTTGAAATTTCGATAACTCAGTATATTTTGAAAATTCCAGAAACTTCGATTCGATAAATCGACAACTCGATAAATCTCGTTAACTTTATAAATAATGAAAATTCAATAAATATCGATAACATGATAAATTTTATATTGTTAATTGTCCGTAAATTTTAACAACTAATTTTCTGTGTCAACCACTTTTGAAAACGCTACAAACATTGATCAATTTGAATGATTCGATGAGTTGCGATAACTCAATAAACATGGATATCACGATAAATTTCGATAACTGTAAACTGTGATGAGGCGATAAATTTCTGTAACTACATTTTTTATGATTGAATTTATTTCGATTCCTATCGAATGATTTCAATAAATTGTCTTACCCTTTCCGTTAACCTAATTCTTATATATTTCTCATTGTTTTCATTTTTGTTTTTATCTTAGTAATATATAGATGCCTACAATCAAAAGGCCAAAAATATTTACTCCTTCCTCCCGGCAAACGCCTTACCTTTTAGTCATAAATAAGAGAGTTGCTCTTTGGCTAAATCCACTTTTTCTTTTAAATCTTTACAGAATTTGGATAATTGGAAATCGTCGCGTAGAAAACGTGTCGAACATATCATCGATCGAGTTGTTGAAGTGAAAAAACTCGAATTGGAAGAACACGACCGGACACGAAGAAAATCGAAAACGTTCTCTGAAATGATCGAAGAAAGGTAAGCAAAGACATTTTTTCACTAAAGCCTATAAGAACCTCTCAGTTATGTATATAATTAGAAAAGCGTTTGCCTCTCGTCTTGGCTCGAAATAGTTCAAAGAAACCTTATTTATTATCCGATTTTAATCACATTCCGAGTATAATGCCACCAAACATTAGAATTGCTATAAATTTTAAACTGATTTGCGTAGAATTTTCTTATTATATTTTCTTTTTACTGTCCGCGAATGTGTTAAGCTTGCTACTGCTTTTTTAGCGAGTATTTTGTATATGCATATAACAAATCTCACAATAAGAAGTAAATTAAGTATTTCAAAAATTTTAGCCTTAAAAGGTTATATAGGCGAAAAAGTACCGAAATTATTCACTTTTTACAAGCCTTTATTTAACTTGCTCTGTATGTATTTATGTATGTTTGTTAGCGGCAAATCTTGCAATCAATTTTTGACCAACTTCCCGATGACCTAGAGATTTAAAACTTCACAGTTGGCTCAGAACCCGATGACAATGCAATGCGAAAGTTGAATTAATCCGATAGGTGGCGCAGGAGTAAAGATATTTGAAAATCCGTATTTATGGTACGATTTGGTTCACATTTAGAAAGCCTGCTTTAAAAATATATGTACATATGTTACTACAATTAACTTATTTCATTGTCATTTTTTTAATAACTTTGGGAAGTTTTCAAATAGAACGTTCATATTAGAGTTAATGGATGTTGGCATCAAATACAACATATCTGTGAAGTTTGAAGAAAATAAAAAAAAATGGCAGCTATAGGAGCTATTTGGTAATTTTTTGAAATCTTACAATTTTTTCATTTTAATAATTTAAGATATTTCAAAATGTTAAAATTAAGCGGTTAAAAATGTTCTTGCCAAAACGAACGAATCTAGTGTAATAACGCTAGTGTAACACCAAATGAAAAAAAAAATACAGTGATGACTATAATTTGAGAAACTAAAATTTCACTTTTACAATTTTTATTGCCAAACTCGAAATTCATTCTAAAATTGTTATACATGAAGAAAGCGATATGAGCATTCTTTTTCATATCGGACATCAAATTTGGTGGCACACTTTCGATTGGCTTCAAATTTTTTTTTATCGGTTCAACTTTTTGAAGATGATTAGCATAATAAAATCCTGTAAATTAGAGATTTAAACTTACACCATTGTAATCCTTGTTTAATTTTCTATAAAAACATGTTTAAAAAAATTGGGGTTTTCAAGACACAACATAATTTTTTTTTACGAAATCCGTCCGATTTAAAAAATAATGGGTCATATTCTTATATGTGCTTAAGAAATTCTGTGTACAAATCTGCCACGCCAATATTTACTTACTTTAAAATAATATGACTTTTATGTTAAGGGCGGGCAAGTAAACGTGTTAGATGATTGCGTATAGTTACGGTGACCAGATTTATGTGGCCAAAAATCGGGACATTTTTTATGCATCGAATCCATACATATAATTTTGTTTTTGGAATACAGTACAGTTTTATTTCAAATAAAACAAAGAGAAAAAAAAACTTGAAAAATTATCGCAAAAATGTATGCACACAAAAAATATATGCGGTGGCGAGATGGTAAATAGGGAAAAGACATTTTAGTAGGTTTCGACTACATTGCTTCAAGTAATTATTTTTCAAATATCACTTGTAGTAATCATAAAGCAATAAGAAAACGCCTCGACCAGGCGAGTTGCTTTCGGCGGACGTTTGGTAATAAGAAATCAATACGATGGCGATATTAACGGCAATAAATTTATTGCCGGTAACGAAAATTGTCCGGTGAGTATGTGCATTAGGGTGGTCCAAAAATCCTTTTCTCGCTCAAAGTTTTCCTTGTATTTGATATGGGTAAAAAACAATTTTTCGTAGAAAGGGTAAAGAATTCTTGAAAATCAATATTTTTTAATCGGAAAACCCTTTTCCTCTTCAGGAGACTTCCCCTAATACCCAATCGTTTATTTTACCATTTTTTAATAATAAAGATTTTTTATTCGTATTTTACCAGTTTTTAATACTAACGATTTTTAGGGGTCGCCCTATTGCACTTTTTTTAATAAAATTAAAAAATCGTTAAATAAACACTATCCAAATATTATAATTGGAAGTCTAAGCATACACGGTTTTCCGACCAAAAAATATTGATTTTCAAGAATTCTATGTCATTAAAATACATGAAAAACTTTGACTCTTGAGCTACCTCTAAATATTTCTTTATTTAAAAATAAAAAAAAAACGGAATTGAACAATCGTAGGGGGTGAGAGCTTTAAAATTCCGACTTTACTTTTTTTTGGGACCACCCTAATGTGCATACATACATACATACATATGCAAATTCTATGCACACATAATTATTTTCCCTTTCATCTATTATTTAAATTTAGTTAAAAAAAAAAAAACTTCAACCATTTTAATTTCAGGGGCGAACGTGGTCCTCGCGGACGTGTCAAACTGGCCTCTTTAGCTGTTTACAATGAAGATGAATCGAACGATTTGAGCGATCTTGGCATTGGCACAAGCAGTGCCAGTGGCAAGAGCAGCCAATCGGAGGATTACGACAACAACAGTGTGCTGGTAAGTACATATGTAAATAAGCGAATGCAAAGCAAATTTAATTGAACTTGGCAATTTGAAAATCGCAAAAGACAATGCATTTAAATAAGTGCTTTGCAAAAGGTTATTGCAATGACTATAGCACCAGGTATCGGATTATACTTAGTAAATACATGATAGCAGTATATGTATACATACATACATATATATTTACCCATACTCTAAATTTTATACTCGTAAAAGATGGCCTTGAGTGCAGCGACACAAGTTTAATTACATACCTTCTAAAAGTTTGCATACCAAATTTAACGATTTAATTGAAATTTCTTGTAGTTGCGCAATTAGCCAACACCTCTAGCAACTTTGATTAGTTTTTTCCATTTTCTATGGTTTTTCTTTCAAACTAACTACTGAATTCCGCTTTACCAAGTGACCGCATTTTTTCGTTAATTTGAAAGTCGCCGCGCTGACTTTTTTTTTGATTCTCTTTGACAAAAAACGTTCTCATTCTTTAGAAAATGGTCACCGATTTGGGTCAACACCGGCGAAAAAAGTCAGTTATGTTTATTTCACACATTAGTTATAGCCAACGAAAAAAATAAAAATAAAAATAAATTTAGTAAAACGGAAGTTCTACTCAGAGACAAATTAGCAGCAATTTTTCTGCCTTAATATGCTGCACATAGACTCATTAGCAAGCGGTTAATTGTTGTTGTTGTTGTGTTAGACTATGCACTGTACTAACTCTACAACCATAGCGCCAACAGAATTTCACCAAAAAAGTTCACAGCTAATATCTGTGCAAAATATTCGAGCGTGCGAAATATTTTTCTTTATATAGCCAAAAGCATAAGCCTTTTCGCGGAATAATCGAAGCTATGTTAATATATATATGTACACATATGGTCAGCTGATTAGGTTAAGTTACATTTTGACGAGTTTTCTCTATGTTTTTTTTTTATTTTTTATCGTCTAAACTATATTTTTTTATTGAACTAACCGACCTTAAACGGCTCGAGGTAGGGACACCTACAGCCTCTTATTCGATGTTTCCATTGCAATATTTGCATAATGTCTTTAAAGTATAAACAACATCTATTAACAGCTTTGAAAATCTTTTTTGAGAAATATGTTTCGGTTTTGACTGATATAGACCAGTAATGCGGGGTTTTTACACTGTACATGTTCATACCAATTGTATAGTGGTATAGTGGTTACTACTCACCAGTCACGACTAAATCGTATCCCGCGGAAGAAGCTTGTTAAAGCTTTTATAGATTCCCTGTACCTTTGAATCTAAGAAATTCATGAAGCGATCTCGCAAAGTCCTGAAAAAGTCTTGAAGCTTTCCAAAAGATACCGAGAGGATTCGGACAATCCCCAAAAAAACGAAAAATCCCAAACACTAAAAATAAAAAATGGTCGTCTCTGATTTAACTCGAATTCCAAGCCTGTTATTCAATTGATTGTTAAACAAACCAACGTCACCAAAAATTAATAACTTTTAATTTCAACATCACAAAAAAAGTAATTATTTTTTTCTCTTCAGAAAATTTAATAGTCCTTACTTTTACGCACTTCTATTTAATTTGTTAGCAATCTAATTGCCCTATTTTTTTTAATTTTCAATGCATTCATTTACTTTGTTCGAAATACAGTTTTGTCAATTTGTCAAAGTCATATCGCATACGTGGTCTACACACACACACACCATACGATCGCTTCATTCAATTAGCTTTTTTTGTATTGTTTTTTTTTTTTGTTTCCTTTGTGAATATAAACACTCTTGTTATGCGATTGTCGAACATTTGTTCTGATTGATCTTTCATTGTGTTCACAACAGCTGAGCCAAGCGTGTCGATCAGCTTAACGATCTTAGAGTATTATACTCGCACGCTCTACATTAAAATTCTGACATTAGGTTGACGGGTGATGCTTCTGCTGCAGCAAATACTAACCAAATTAAAGATTTTATAAATGCTGAAAAAAATTGCGAATAACTAAGGACTTTAGCGATCACTTGCTCGTCACTTGATGCGTAAGAAGCTCTTAGACAGAGGATAGAACTTAACGCAGAATAGATCAGCACCAGGGGGCTTCTTTCTCCGAAGCAGCTTTCATGATCTCATCCTCTTATTTTCAGCTTATTTAAACTTGTCGCTTAGGGCAGTAAAATTGTACGGTCATTGGGTTTTACGGCCTTGTCGACCGCGAGAGGACTGCTGTAGATTGACCTGGCGCAGTGACCGCACATGGATTTCGTTCGCAACATTTCTACTACTTTCCTATAAAATCTTGCTTTAGCCCATCTTATATGAGCACTAGATAAATAATATAAAATGTGTATTGAAATAATTTTTTTAATTATGAAAATGTGTTTCTTTATATTTCTTAACATTGATATAAATTTTCTTTTTCCTGTACTCCCTCCAGAGCGACAACGCTGAACTGGACAAGGCCATATTCGAGAATAACCAAAAGCCCAGCAGCATCCCTGCGCGCGAATACATCTCCTCGCCCGGCTACGACACCTCCTCCAGCACTGCGCCCGGTAGCTCGCCCGATCCATGTGAATACACCTACGAGGGTGCCATNGCACGCGCGCAATCTGCTGCGCATGTTCAAAGAGACCTTCAATAGTGACATTGAATTAGACGAGGTGCAGGAGCATGAGGTGAAGCCAATAGCTGAACCCTCAATAGGTGGTGGGAGTGGTGGTGCCATACCCAAACAAACAGTTAGACCACTGAACTCAAATGGGCCTCAACTTTCACCCGGGCCGGTGTCAATCACTGGTGAAAGCCCACAACGCCCACAAACACCCACACCGTTCACATTAACAGCTGCGGCTGACGCTCCAATAAGCACACAAATATTTCAATCTTCCACTATATCCCCTTCGGCTTTGTCCCCACCATCCCCTTCGCCCTTCACTCAGCCCACTTCTCCCATGGCTATACCACAAACACCACCATCTCCTTCACACGCTACACGCGCGCCCACTCCGCCGCCACGCTCTTCGCCGAGTGTGCTTATGTCTAACGGTTTCTCGATGATTCCGCGTGCCGTCAATCCAATTGGCAAACCACCCATGTCACCCAAGTCGACACGTTATACCGTCATGAGTCCCGTTAACAGTCCACCGCCCGCGCGCAAATCAGCCGACGACAATCCGTTCAGCATCAACGGACGTGTAGAGATTTTCAATTCAAAGAATATGAACACAAATCCGACCGGTAAACCGCCAACGCCAACGATGAACGCAAGAAAATCATATGTGCCACAATTGGGTGCAACAACACCAACATCACCAATACTTGGTCGTCCGCCATCGCCCATGAATGCCACCGCGTACAATGGCAGTGTCGGGTTTCCTAAGCAGCAACAATTCCCAACAACGGTGACGGTGACCGCATTACCCCCGACCACATCGCTGCCGCCAGCTTCTAATCAAATGCTGCAGGCAAAGACAGCTGCTGCGAATGCTGCGAAATCAATGCCAGGCGTGCAAGTAGTCAATGAACCTTCACATGAAACCCGATTACCCAATGTGACAACTGTGCCGCATTCACCACAACAACAACAACAACAGCAACAGCAGCAGCATAACCATGCAGAAGTTGTTATGTGCGCACCGCCGGTAACCATCTTGAATCCGGATGAGCTGCCGAAACCCAACACCGTCAAAGCGCTTTCCAGTTGCTTCTCACAAGATGTGGCAGCATCTAATCAACCAGCCGGTAAGACGAAACCGCCGATACTGGGCCCGAAGCCTTTGCCACGCAGTCGCATACCACAAACGCCGCCTCAATCACCTACGCCAGCAAAGAGAAATTTCCTCAATTCGCCAACGGCGGCCACAGATGCAACGGTAAAAGAGTTTACAAAAACAGGAACAACAAGTAGCGCGCTGCCAAAGCAACCACAGCCTAAGCCTACAGCCGTAGCTGAGATGGCACCTAATTTGGTTGCACCCAATGCAGATGATTTGAAGAAACTTTCTATCATCTCAGACATTTCGACGGTATCAAGTGATTCCAGCGTCTGCACAGAGCCCTTTGAAACCACGGCACANTCGGCGGCCACAGATGCAACGGTAAAAGAGTTTACAAAAACAGGAACAACAAGTAGCGCGCTGTCAAAGCAACCACAGTCTAAGCCTACAGCCGTAGCTGAGATGGCACCTAATTTGGTTGCACCCAATGCAGATTATTTGAAGAAACTTTCGATCATCTCAGATATTTCGACGGTATCAAGTGATTCCAGCGTCTGCACAGAGCCCTTTGAAACCACGGCACAGGTACATTCACCACCAGCGGTACTGGAACGTACCAATGAGCTGAATCGCGCAGCTCTCAAGCCGTTACCGTTGATGCGCAACGCCCATAACAGCTCAAACAAACCAGGTACTTCAAAGCAGCCCACTGACGATCCGCTCAAACCAAATGACTCGCTCACGCCCGTCATATCAGTGCCCTCACAGATGCCCACGCTCGTGGCTTGCAAGCCTAATCAGTCTACACTATTCAAGCTGACCACGCCACCGGCATCGCCCCACTCACCGCTCTCACCTACCGATGTGACACTCTGCAACAATTTCCTCAACTCCTTCGAACCCACAAACTCATACTTACCTGTGCAACAGAAAAGCGTTGATGAGTCGCCTTGTGACAAGATGGACGTTAACGAATCGCCGCCAAGTAAGCGGCCTCCTTGCACCTTCTACGAGGACATCAGCGCCAATAAAGTTAAGGCGTGTGATGAATCCGGTATGAAAACTGAAATTTCACGCCAGTCCGTGCCACCTCAGGCACAGCGTCAGCACACAGTGGAGGAGAAGATCTGTCAGAAAATTGACGTGAATGATCTACCAGCCTACGACCAGGTACCGCTGACTGGCTATGACGAAGTTACCGCTGAGCAAGTGCGCATTTGTGATGGTCTCAATGCGAGACCACCAAGTAAAGGTAGCGATCCAAGCACACCCAGAACGTCATCGCAGAGCACCGGCAGCGCACCCAGCACACCGGACACACCAACAACCGTGAAAAGTATGCCCATAACGCCGATAAGTAATATTCCCTTAGCTAGCTCAAAATCAAATACCTCACGTCCCAACTCCAAGCCAAATTCACCTATAATGGTCGCGCGCGCAGCACACTCGCGTGCACTCATTGAGACCTGTGAGCGTATTATCGCAGAGGAGCGTCTGCACAGCAGTCAAATAAAGTCTGCTTTACCGACTCACGCCGTCGCCAAGAGCAGCGGCACTCCCCTTCTTCAACGCAAATCGAAGATACCCAAACCAATACCCTGCTGCATCAGCGCTACAGATTCAATGAACCAAGCCGATCAGCCGGCCAAACCTGTGCTCAAGCAAAGCAGCGGACCCCCAACACCGGAATCAGTTGATGAAAATATGATAATTGGGCGATTGCATGTGGTCGAAACACAAATCAAAGTCACTACCTCTACGCCACCGTCCTCGCCAACCGTGACAACAAAGTCGAACGGAAGCGCAAAACCAGTGGCGAACCAAAATCCGAAGAAAACGAAAAATATTTTCGACTTCTTACGTAAAAACTTCGGAATCGGTGATGATAACCCACCGGCCGTTGCTGCTGCTGCGAGTGTTGAAGAGGAAGTGGCACCGTCTGTTGTTCCGCCGGCTGTCGAGAAGGATGTTGTGAAATTGGATGAAATATTCACTGTGGATAACTCAAAGTTCTATATACCCTCAGATGATGTGCCACCACCACCGCTGCCAAAGACGCCAGCGCCTGTGAATATCGAGATAACAAAGACCTTTACCACAAACGAGATCGTTGAGGAGGGTACCAGCGAGCAGGATTTGGTGCAAGAGATCAATGAAATGCTAGACGATGAACTTAATAGATTGACGCTGGAGAGTGGCTCAAGCGTGAGTGGTGGCACAGGCAAATAGGTCTTGGAAGATGCTATTTTTTGCATGGCATATGTGTGAAGGGTCTTTACGTCACTATTTAAGAGTGGGCGGTGCTATCTACATATATCTACTTAAATAAGAACCGGTTAAAACTACTTGGCCAGTTGAAGACTTTGATATCATCCCAATTTTTCTTTTTTTTAGTTTCTTTAAGTGATTTACCGCCTTTCTGTTGTGCGTGTGAACCTACCTTAAGTCACTCTTTTAAAATGCTTGCTACGTGCAAACCAGTCTTATTTCTTTCTTTAGTTGATCTGCTTTCGTCAACGCATTGCCGCATCTGCGGTTTAAAGAAGAAGAACAAATCGAATTTATGAATATTAGATTATCGTGTTATTATTTACTTATAAAAAAAATATATATTTGATTCGTTTTTCTTACACTAGTTAATAGTCTCTATCACTTGAGGACTTAAATGAAATGACCAGCAAGTGTTGCAGTTCTCAAATCCCCCAGTTGTAATATTCTACTGGAGCTTTTTGAAAAAGCTTTCCCAAAGCCATTCTTACTAGCACTTTGCCTCAACGTCTCTTTCTACTTTAAAAATGCTCATTAATCAACCAATTGAGCACGAAAGCAAGAAAAGCAAATCACTAATCCCCTTGGAAGCCACAAGCTCAGTCGTCTACTCACTCACCCACTCAAACGCGCGAGCACACACGCTCGTATGTTCGTTAGGTTATATTCACAGCTATTCTTTTGTATATTATTTTCTTTAGGTATATGTTTCTTGAACTATTTTTTCTACTTCTATTATACGCTACTCAATGCATTGCAATAAAATTGTAAAGCTTTTCTGCAAGCTCGAATATATTCTGTAGCGGGGCTTTCAAATGCGCAAGCAATGTATCGCTGTCAGCTTAAAAAAAAAATATCAAAATACTTTTATTTAAATCGCAAATAGGTGGTAAATTTTTAAATACTCGCTACTGTTTTCAATAAAGCATTTTTTATTTAATTTTATTTGAATTAGCTATCATTCAATTTGCGTTTAATTTTACGCATCAAAACTTTGTTAAATCACAACAAATGTATGTAAATGTACCAAGAAACAAAAATGCTACAAAATAAACGTTTTTCTTTGTAATTAATTTTTCTAAAAAACTGAAAACGTTTTTCTTTATTTTTTCGATTTCAACACTTTTTGTCATTCTTACCCATTCTTACATTTCATACAAACAAACATAGATATGTACATATGTAAATGTTCTCACGTACATATCCATCCACTCAATTACATTTCCATTTGATTCATTTTCATTCTCGTTCGAAAAAAATTGTCTCAATTTCGCATTTTCAGAAAGCTTCTGGTTGTGGTGTCGGTTATTTTAAGCTTAAGCTTTAAGTTTTCTCCTATGAGCGCTGTTTTTATACTGGTAATGAAATGTAGAAAGCCCTTTGCTTAACGGGTTTTCAAATCGTCTTTTTTTTTTGTATTTTTACGCAGTTATTAGCAGGACTATGCTCTCGCATTCTCGAAATATTGATATACATACACTAGTAACCACTAAGTCTTGCAAACCCTTGTACGGTATACGGATTGCACAGTTCGCAAAGTTTTCCTATAGGAAATCCGGTTCTACCGTACAGTCCGGCACGGTGCAAGGTTTTTGTCTACCTCTCTGTGTTTTTTCAGTGACAAAAAAAATTTAATTACTTAAAAGTGTATTCTCACTCTTATTACCAAGTTGTTTTTTTTTTCTTTTTTTGTGAGAATTGTTTTCGAGTAGCAACTAATCCCCCTTTCTTAAAAACTCAAACTTTTTTTTAAATAGAATGTGAATAATATATTGATATTTAGTATCCTCTATCGCCTCTCCCGGATAATGGCACAACCTCGATGTCTTATTTTTGCCATTTAGTGGCTAGTTTTGTCTGTCTATACCAGGGTTGTTGCGAATATTATTCCGAAACAAAAGTCCTTTCCGGATAATAAACATATATATATATATATATAATACTAGTCTGTCCTGTTCTTAAACACGTTAGATGATCTTAAAAAAGGGCGCTCCTCGCTCTTGAAGCGGACGAGGTCACCGATGGAGCTCCATTAAGCGAAACTAGAACGCAGCGCAACATTACTGGAACCATTTTGGATATGTCAACAAGGAGAATCGAAGCGCTCCTCCATCTCTCTAGGCATGAAGTAAGAATTTGTACCGTTTTTTTACTGGCCCCTGCATGTTAAGGAAGTAGCTGTCAACCAACTGTTGTTGTTAACTTTGATCATTGTTGGTTGTGTAACGAAGAACAGTAAAAAGCAGAGCACATTATGTGCCGCTGTGAAGCCCTCACTGGTACCTTACTTCGCTTCTTAGGATCACTTTTACTAGAGGCACACGACCTAAACTAGGTTACCTGCTCATCTCTTCTAGATTTAATCTAATCAAATCCAACATCCGATTTATAGTTGCGTTTCCTATATAAAAATTGCCACATAACACCTCAGCACAAAGTTTTCGGCAACGGTAAGCTCCGAGTTGTACGGTGGGCACATCACACCTGGCCAAAATCAGTCAGTTCATTAATGAATGGAAATAAGTCTACATTTTTATTTGTAGATAACCGAATTAATGGTCAAATATTGTTAGGGGAGGACACAATTACCGTGCTTCGTATATAAAAATTAAAATCTGATTCTAGAATAGTATTTCCCTCCCACAAAATCTGTCGCGGAAACTTAATGGACGAATGTCAAGGCCTGGCTTCTCTAAAGAATAGCTCATTTAGGGAAGTACATAATGAAAAAGCTAGTAGCATGTACCGAAATGGCGCCAATTGACTATTAAGTGGCCACTTGATAAGCACCAAACCAACCATGTCTTATTGGAGACTTAACGGTGTTAAACTTGTCTTGGTTGAAATGGAAGAATTCGATCGTTTATCCTGACTAGTTTTTTTTTTAGTAGCCATTTTTTGTCGATGCTTGGTTAAATGAAAGAATGTCCCTGAGTTTTTTCGCCTGTTACAAGTAACAAACTCAACGGAAATAAGGTCAATGGACACTATTTCGCATACTGGTGCGAAATAAAGTCAATTGACATTAACTCCTTCTCAAAAGCGGAATAAAATCCTTCACAACCACGCGCCAATTTATGGTTTCAAATGCAATTCGATTTATATCAGAAATCGATAACAAATCTGATAAAAGTTCTTAGAAATATTTCGGGTAGGCAATTTTGTAGCGTATTTAATTTTAGTCTAATAAAGTGCAAGTTTCAAGTAGCAAAAAATTATCGGTGATTTTTAAGATTTTTTTTCGAGGGTGTTGCGCATTTTCTTCCATATAAAAATAGATTTTGTATATGTTATATCATCGCGACATCCTCGACAAAAAAACTCCCAAAAATCAACGGTAATTTTTGCTATTAGACTAAAATTGAATGGGCTACAAAACTGCATACCCCGATAATTTCTAAAAAATCGGATCAAAAATTTGAAAGTTGTAAAATGATTGGGATTTTGATTTTTATGATCTTTGTTTTATAAAAAAAAAAAATATACCATAAAACATAAACTTTTTTTGGGTAAACGGTTTAAGCTGTGATCCACATCATATGTACGTTAGGCTGGGTCGCGTAAAAAATTGTTTTAGCCTCCTTGGTTTGAGAGCTAACACATTGGCATCAAAAATATTATTGCTCTATTTTTGCGCGAAAAATAGCCAAACCCGCGTTTTCATTTTTCACTTTTTGTATCCCGATTTTATTAAGAAAATATTTTTGAATACTATGTATTTATTGCTGTTGGTTGATTTTTCCGACACGGTGAAAAGATGATTTATTTTGAAATGAATTTACGTCATCCCTTGTCAAGTTACTCTATATCTCTTGAAGATCATATTGGTGTAAATTACTTTCTTATACCAGTTAACTTATGGTGGCGTAGTCCAAATAAAGTCGACACTAAGGTTAGTTACAGCTTTTTGATATAATTCTCAATGGATTGCCTCTAAAAAGAGCTCCTACTAGCTTTATAGTCGATTTAATTTTGACCCGACTTAATTAACTTAAGTCATTAGAAATTTTAAAACTTTTTAAGTAGCGATTTTTTTAACCTTATAAGATCTATAGCTCTGAAAACTACTTTTTAATGAAATATCACATCTTCCAAAACCGGGTGTTAAATTAAAAACTTGCGAAGCAAATGGCATTTAGATTGTTTTTTTATAGCGTGACCAAGTCAAAAATTATAATGAAACCAAAATCCTCGCGTAGTAAGTAATCTTTCAAGCCTGGGAGGGGCGCCATTTTATTAGGTAATTACAAGTTTTTGTTTTCTTTTGTGTGCAGTCTAATAAATGTACAGGCATATGTATGTACGTATACCTAGCACCTGATATACCATATTTATAATGGAATATCTAAACATTAAGCACTGCCTTAGATAACAATCTAAATTATCTAATCAAATAAATGCCGTATAAGCTAATTGATTTGCACTTCATTAACAAATTGTAGTAGTGATATATGTCTACACATTTGCATTCAAAGGCATAAACATACATACCACATATAAAACTCTTTAGTGTATAAATTTAGAAAAAACAAAACAAAACATGCATATATATGTATCTGTATTTCTTGTATTTCTCTTTAC